GGGTCAATTGCACCTATTCTTAACAATGGGATGTTTTCCTCTTTAAGGCCACTTTCTTAAGAAGATATTTTGTCCGGTTTACTTTTCCAAATGCTACATTCAATAGGTCGTTGGAAAGCTAAAAGTGCAAAGTTCCTCATAATAGGTGACATAAAGTACATAGACTATGAAAAAATGGGCGGATGAGGAAAATGAGAAATATCTCAGGCTATAGTGTGCTTTCAAGCAAAAGGCTGGAGAAAAAGGGGTCAAAAATTGAGCTCTATTAAACTACTATTTCAGTTTAAAAGCTCATTTCAAAGGTGGACTATTTCCTTTAATGTTTACAGCCCCTGAACAATAACCATTGCAAAGGTCACCGGGGTCCATTGAAACGGCCTGTGGCCCTGTTTCAACTGAACCTCAGAGAAGCGTTTCAATTGACCCCATCCGCTTCCGCCATCTCGCACGCGCCGTAAAGCACATGCCAAACGAGCTGGAGGGACGGCATCATGCTGAATGAAGGGCCAAATAAGGTGTTATTCCGGAGCCAGGAGTTCTTCTTTCAGCAAACAAAGGTATATGAGATATCACAAAATATTCATTAAAACGATTTCTCCCAAACGCCCCTCAAAAACACAAAAACAAGTGTCAAATCAAAATTACCGTCCGTTTGCCGCCCAAACGCCGTTGACAAAGCAAGTGGTCGAGCGCGGATGCGCAGTGGTGTCGGCAACGCCATATGTTGCATACTGTTGAAAATAAAGCCATGTTTCATCTGACCCCGTGTTTCAACTGGCCCCGCTCTCCCCTATAGCCTGCAGGAATCCGCACCAGCCATGACACCATACAGGCTCCAAATACCTATTACGAAAACATTGAGAGTGCTTCATTTCTGTCGATATGGGCAAACTAAATTGCAACAAAAGGGCAAAAATTCCCTGACCGAACAATGGTGGCTCATGTGTCTACAAAAAAAAATTATTTGACAACATGGCTGCAGTGACAGGAATTGCATAAAACAGCACCTCACTGCGTTCACTGGTTGAGTGCCCAACCAAAAATTAGGTACATTTAATTTCTTGTTCAAAGCTTAATGCGGTTTTAGTGTGCAACATGCTCATTGTTCAGTCCGTCATATGTACTTATAGACGTCAATTGACAGTCAACAAATGAACAGTGTCTCCAACCTGAGACCCTCTAAAGCCTGGTTGGAGCTTCATTTGAAAAGAAAATGAGTGACATACATAAACCACACTAAAACGCCAGCAATATCTCCACTGATCTTTCCCATAATCACTCACCATACCAGTAAGGATGAAAGCCATGTCCAACAATCCATATCATTTCACTGTTTGACTTCTTATTATTCTTATTCGGGTTATGTATCACCACAGTATCACCACTTCTGCATCCCACAGCAGCTCCTTATACTGCACACGCAACACTTATACGCCACAGCTCAGCTCCTTCACAACGCACGCGTCCTCTCCCCTCTCTGACTTGGCACAGACTGAACAATGGCGGGCGCAGAGGGGCGCACAAAATGGCGATTTTTTTTCAATTAACTAAGGTCTTTGTAATGCTACAACAAAAAGAGTAGTAAGAAAACTAAGATTGTGAGTAACAACATGCGTTTGATTTGTTAGTTAACACGTTACCCAGAAAAAAAGGCAAAGGAAGCATAAACAAACATGTTTGTCAAATAGCACGGCATGGTTTGCACGGATAATATTTGTCGGCTTACAATGATGTTAGCTTTTCTGCTTCGATGAAATGGATGTGGTGTTAGGTTGCAAACATATGTGTTACCTGACCCATTTTTTGCAACAACGTGTGTTTTAATACTAGATTTTGCTTGAAGAATTAACTAACTGGTTTGTTAGCATTTTTTACAGTGTATGACGCCGGCGACCTAAGTCCAGGCTAATTTTGCGACCGCTCCCTTATATGTAGGTCAATGGAAGAATATCAAACTGAAATCCTTTTGGACGTTTTCAAGCATCGTTAGCACTTTTCATGTGCTCAGCTCAACAATAAAGATGAACTAATTTGCACCATGACCTATGTAGACCTTTTGTCAGATTTTGAGTTGACCCTTTAAGGTGCCTGCTCAATTTTAGTCGACGCATCAAAGACTCTCTACGAGAGAAGCATAAAATATCTATTATTGCAACAATTATGGCAGAAGCTTGCTCAACAAAAGCATCTGTTTTCAACAGTGAGCTTTCACAGGGAGATATGAGACTTACATACAGTACCAGGTATCCTCCAGAGCTCTTACAGCTTGCATATCTTGGAGTTTTTTTTTCTAAGGGGATCACCTAAGGTCAGGTCGGTCACTGTACGGGGACCCGCAGTTGCTACTGTACACGAACCTCAACTCTAGCCGTCTGTCCTGTCCAAGTGTCCAGTAACAACCGATAACATTGCATAATAACGACTGCCGGTCCCAGTACAAGAGCAGCTGAGGTTTTCTGTGCGTGCCCTCTGACAGTTTATCGTTGTTCCCTGTGAGGGTGCTGGGACAATTTACTCAGGGTCGCTGTACAGTAGCAACTGCGGGTCCCCGTACCTCGCTGTTATAATTCAGTGGGAGAAATATGGAAAATATTATTTTGGCACCGTAAATGATGCAGAACTATCTCAAGCACATGAAAACGCGATTTCGTGTTTTCGTTCACTCCTAGCAAGATCCGACGCTTCACTTTTGCATCGTTGACCTTGCGTGACGTCATTTATGACGTCACGCGGAGCGGGGAGGGCACCGGGACACCGTGCTCCCTTGATTTTGGCATCTTAACCTTAGCCCTAAGGGCGTTGCATGGAAAGAATGAGACCAAAAGTCGGCAGTGTCCCCCTTGAAGGTGTTCCGCCGCTACTGAGGCCAAATAAGTCTTTTGGAAATAATTCCCGATCAAATCGAGCTAGCGAGTCGAGAAAGCCACCAGTGGACTTGACAAGACCTACCAAATCAAATGATATGCAATATGATGCCCGTCGACCAGATTCGTGACCTGAGTGGCTCTGACCTGACCGAGACCCGAGATCAACACCTTAAGCTGACGTCACCCAAACAAAAAGTATATCATTTGACACGCCTAAGCATGGAGAACGCAACGGTGCCAAAATCGTAGCTCTACAATCATTTTTGGCGACATTATTTATCAAAAACCGAACCCCTACCTTTGGGCACTTGACTTGACCTCATTTTACCTGAGGACTTAAAATCGTGTGCCAATCGCTGCGTCTCGTAACAGCGCCCACACTCGTTTTTTCGCGAGGCTCCAGCTCAATCAGGGAAGAACGGCGGGGATCGTACCCGCCCTTCGGCTGGGACGTGCATATACATACGTATGCGAAAACCAGTAGGTCTGGCGACGGTAACGTAGCCATGCCTCTTAAAAGCTTGGCGATCTTGTCATTTACAACTTATCTTCTAGACCTCCGAAATTGATTGAATTGCGTGTAGGTATCAATGCCAACAATTTGTTCATCTCATACTTTTTATATCTGTGACATGGGATCAGGTCAGATGTGTACCTAATAGAAGTAAAGTAAGTAAAGTGAGGGGTGTAATGTGGGAAAAGTACAAATAGCTCCTGATTTGAACAAACGCGTCAAAAATACAATGTATTTACAGAAACATGACCACTCTACCCGCACAGCTGATGGCCAGCGATCACTCAAAAGATCATGTTAGGCCATAAAAGGCCACCAGATAATATTTTGGATAATAACTTTTGGTGAAGCCATGGTAGAGCAATGAAATCAACTGAATGTGTTAAGATCATCAATACAGACTGATTGATATATGCAGTATGACCTTTTCCGGTCAATGCTCGACCTTGACCTGAGTTCAATTCTTTATGCGGACATCTTCAGGTCAAATTGTAGTCCATTCAATGCGTCTCTAAGAGAGTAACATGATGCCGACAATATAAGTATCATGCAATAATCGAGCTCAAAGTTATTGCAAAATTTGTTGAAAAAATTGCTTCGGCAAAATCCGCCTATTTTGGTGGTTTTTGCTCTCTGTGGGCCAAATCGTTGCCCTGAGGTCAAATATGAGGGCATTCTAGCGAAATAATTTTGAAAGAGCTATCGTATGCACTCATCGCGGCTCTTCAGCTATTTTGGGTATGATTTATGCGCCGATTTGTGAAAATTGTCGAAAACGGGAAAAGATCTTCGTGATAATTTTAGGGTAGACCGGCGCAAGACGCACCCTTTAGCCTTCGACTCGTGATAGGGAATGAATTAGGGGACAACGAAGGACAGCTTAGCGCTTATGGCAACCACTGAACATTTGTCTCCATCACATCAGGGACAAAATTTTTGACTCACTCACTGGTAACGTGTCAAAAGAGAAAAAGTGATAAAAGTCAAAATGGGCCTTTTGCCCCAATACCGGGGCAAGGCGCCCTCTGCCAAGGGGCAAAGCGCACCACATGAAGTACTATCAGCATGACAAGCATTCCTGGGTGAAAGACATATGCATTGAAAGCCTTTGCATTAAAGATGGATTGAATGTGCAGCATCTTCATTAAATGTGCATTGCGGCAGTTTGGCAGTTTTATTAAAATTCAGATGAATACATCGAAGCCTACTTACATGTAGCCTACCTACATTGTACCTACATTTGTTTGTTTTAGCATAGATAACATGAATGTTTTAAGTATTATGTTTTAGCAATCACGCCGGTTTCACAAGTCTTGTGGCAATGTTTACGTTTTCTTTTGATTTTGACTATTTCATCTCATATCTATATACACTGTATACACACTTTATTTTATTTTGCATGTCAGAATCAATAACAGTTCATATGAAAATGAACTATTTTGAAGTTATTACGTTTCCAGAGAAGTATTTGTTATTTTCGGTGCCTTGAGGACGTACCCCTGCCTGTGCCACCCGGAGGAGTGTGGGGGCAGAGCGGACTCGGTGCCGGTCACCGGAGGGGTCGACAGCACCCCCGGCAGGGCGCTGACGCCCGGCACTCCGTGACGCCGCGGTCACACGGCGTATAAAAGTGGTGCGCCGCGCCGGCAGCCACTAGAAGCCGTGTGTACGTCGCAGCGGTGTGGTCACGATCGAGACAGCGCGGCGCGGCGCGGACCACTCAGCAGAGCACCGAGGACACCGGTGTCGGATCCACGGACCCACAGACGGACAGGAGGGCCGTGGACAGAACGGGAGCCGGCTCCATCCACAGGGAGATAGGTGAGTACCTACCTATCGGCCTACCTACCTCAGCCATCAGTAATAATTGAGTAGATGTATAGGTATAAGGAATCGCTTCTGGTGAAAAACTGAATTCTGAAATTCTGACTGAATTCTGAAAATTCTGACTGAATTCTGAAAATTCTGACTGAATTCTGAAAAAAACACGATACGAGCCATAGGAAGGAATAGAAAGTCCACACGTAGGTAAAATCAAGAGAAAAATAGTTTTCAGCTGGTCAGTGTCAAAGAAACTGAGGGCTAGTGTTCTTTTCATTAAAACGCTTTAAGTGATAAGACAGAGTTAAAAATCCAAATACCTATAGTCGTGCAGATGCTGGTGGAAATTTATGGGAAAAGTACAGAAGTAATTATAACAAATACAAGGAAAAATGAAGGCACTAACAAATGGAATAGATAAAAGACCATAATTAGATAGTTAATACGATAATGAATTAGATAACTTCTATTTATTTGTTTTTATTGTTCAACTTTGTGGCATTAAGTATCATACTAAGGACCTCTATTCATCTAACGGAAAGCGCAATTAAGCAATCAAAAGTCAGAGACACTCTTTTATGCTTTAAACAACAAATTTTTACTTAACGTATGTTCGTTTTTGCATTTGAGTAAATTAAAAAGAAACGGAATGAAAACGTATTTCATGTAGGTAGGTATGTGTTTGCCGTAAAGTTGCAATTTTTGGCAAACATGAGCTTACTCAAATTGGCTAAGAAATTAAAAATGACCGGATGGAACACAATGCCTACCAGATAAAAAGATGTCTTTGATGTAGGTACAGATATTCGATACATACCTATCTGAACATTTAACAGCATTTAACGTAAGTAAATTTATTTAATGCTAAAATTCCATTTACATAATAATAACATTTTTTGTTAATGCTATTTACAGTCAAATAAATATGTATAGTAGCTAACGTTAATACTTAATAAACTTAACAGTATTTGACTTTTAAAATGACAGATTTAAATACTTAAGTAGAATTCAAATTAGTTCCGATTTAACCTTCTGGCCTCTACATCAGAATAAACACACGTTCTTGCTTACACTTTTTCATACGCAGTCAAAAGAAACATTCGTTCTAAACATAATGCGAATGCACAGAATTATGGGTTTCAATGCCTTGTATCCTTCCCCTTGATTGTGAGCTGTTGTACCCATTTCTCTCACCCAGAAATGTTGTGGTTAAGAAATGGTGTTGGCATGCATTTCATTTAAAGTAGGTATTTACTTTTTCAATGCAACCAAAAAGACCTTAGAAGTAGGTGCACCCGAAAGCCCAGTAGACAAACAAAAATTGTATCTAGCAGAATAACTCTTCATTTTCTCGGCCACCAAAATTATTCAATATGTTGTAATTAAATGCAACTTGTAACAAATGCAATAACAACTTTACATGACTTACCTCACCGTAAAAAGCCGATGGATCGCAGTTCAATGATCATTATTTCGCTACTACAGTCGATTCAGATATGCAGCGCACTTCTCAGCCCCATAACTCCCAATCGACCCCCAAAACTTCACACGTCGCCCTGCGGCCGACCAAAGATGGATGGCCGCGCTCCGCTTCCCCGTCTGCAGGGTGGCTGATTAGCTTGTTTCTGGCCTTCCTCGTTTTTATTCATCGGACTTGGAGATGGCGCCGCCGCCGGCGAGATGAAGGCTTAATGAACGTACAACCCACCGACAGGACAGACCACCGACAGGGCAGACCGCTCGGCGACCCCACAATCAATGACGTCATGGACAGAACGGCTGGCTGTCAGCTGATTGCTGCTCAGGAGATTGTCTTCTCTAGGGTCAGTGAAGGTCACGGACATCAACATTTTACGATATGCTGTAATTGGTTTTATGAGATTCTGACATATCATGAACCGTTTAGCTGCTAAACTTTAGCATATTTGTTACATATCTAGAAAAACTAATTGAAACACATTTCATTTATATTAAAAGACCTAAAAAAGCTCTTGAAACTCATACAAGCCCAGAACCTAGTATACCCTAAAGACTTAATCACAGCCCCCACATCAGACAACATTGACGTGAAATTCCAGCCAAACCTGTCGCATGTCATCTGAAAACTGATCGAAATGTAGGGAACTGCGGACAGAGCTCACTCTCACCTGCCTCTTCAAAGTTCGCAAAGTGCCAGCAAAGGTGGCATACCAATGTACATACATACTGCAGGCGATTCACATATGTAACTGGATTTATTGCAACGTAATGGTTTATCTAGACATTCTGAAAGCCAACTATCAATGTTTCGGGAGGGCGGTATGCCCGACAAATGCACTCAAAAGTGTGAAGATACTGCCTTGCAAAATTGTTGCGCTGAGTGTGACGTATGCAGCCTGTCAAACTCGATAACGCTCGCTCGATTTCTCTGAAAAACTTTGTTTTGGTGCCCGACTTTGAAAGCGCAAACGCGACATGTTTGTGTCCGTATGCCATCACGGAGTGTTGCTCGCGTTATAACGTCACCGTTTGCAGTCGACATGTCACGTTTCTATGCGGTACCTTTCCACTCACGTCACAGGTCAGCGAGTGGTGATGAGGCGGGGGGGGGGGGGGAGTGGGAAGGGGGATAGGATGGCAAGTGGCTTGGAGCTAAGATGTTAATAGTTCATGTAACCCGCCATCGCTGTTATGCGGGAAAGGTCTATTTGGGTATGGATATGGTTCCAGGGCCCACCTGAACTCACCTGTTGGGTGGAGGATGGGCAACTTGATTAGAAATGCGCCTTACTGGAGTGTTGTGACCATTTTGACATCTGGCCTTCGAGTATCGATCAAGCCCGGTTTTACGACTTCCCCCAAGCTGTCTGACGGCGGCGGGCGCTTCCTCGGCGGCGCGGCACCGACCTCCTTTCCTGGCTGACTGCGGTCTCGGCGGTGACATGAGTGGGCCGCCGGCGGCCGCCGGGTCAGCCGGGTCACAGGTCGGTGCGCCGCCGCCCGGCCCGGCCTGGCTCGGCCCGGTGCGCCGCGCTCACAGCAGTGCGGCGGGGGACGGGCCTTCCACAGGCGCGGCGTGTGTGCGTGGCCCGGCACGTTCCACTCTGGGCGGTTAGGCGGCAGTTTTATCTGGTGTGGCACTCCGGTATGAGCCGGTGATGAAGCTTGGTTGCGCGGGTCATGATCACCTGGTGTGCTAGTCGCGGGGTTAAGCATTCCGCTTGTGGTCTACTTATGAGCTTATGATGACTCGTGATACGGAAAACGGAACATTTGCCGAGGATTAGATGACAGCATCTTGCTTCAAACTACGCACGCATAGCATACCTCACAGCACCAACGCTGACAGGATATCTAGATATCATTAGGAAATGGCACGGCATGAGCTGGCGTATTTGGTTATCTGGCATCTTCATGGTACGCACAGAGCTATAGCTTTCGGGGTTGGGCAACAGGCACGTCCAGTTTTTATTGCGTTCCACATCTTGGTTTATTGAGCTTACATTGGAGTGATAACTTTTTTGGACGACTGATGCGTAAGCGTATAGGTCACAGCAGTCAAACATTGGATCTGACCCAAAGTCACAGCATCCCATTTTGTTGTCGCGGCATTTCTTACAGATAAGTCTCAGACGGTGAGGAATCAATGACGCACGCAGGTAGGTACTGACAAGACTCAAAATTTACGGCAGAGCCACGGTCGCTTCTTCAGCTCGGCATTGAACAGACAGTCCCTGTAGATCAGTCTCGCAGCGCCATGGCCCCCTGTGGACCGTCAGCTAGCTGAGCAGCCCGCCCGTGGATATCCGCACCAATCCAATCCGGGCGCGGGGGCGGTCCGTCCGACACCGGCGGCGATCCCGGCGCAGATCGGCCGCGGCCGGCGGCGATTCCGGCGCAGACCTGCCCACGCAGCCTGTGATAATTCTACACAGAGCACAGACGCTTCGCATCAGGGCGGCCTTGAAGCACACCAAACTCAAGGCCAGGCAAATTACCTTCGTTTTAATGTTCCCCTGCCTTCCAGCCGAGCTCAGACGGGAACAGCCAGCGGTGAATGAAAACAGCTTGTCGGTAACCGCTGCGGCTAGGCGCAGCTCACGCTATTCCTTAATTGGCTCGGGCTTGATACATTTGGCATTGAAGTCGGTATTTTTTGTCTTAGGAACAGTCAAACAGCTTGGCTCTGGCTAGTGACCAGGCGCCCGGGGTGGTATCACCTGGATGGGCGGTTTTTGAGTGTCCGTGATCCCCCGCCGTGTGTCCGGACCGGGAGCCAGGGGAGGTGCTGGCAGGCGCGCTGACCCAGAGCGGTGCAGGCAGACGGTGGGGCCCACCTGTTACCGACCAGACGAGTGAGTCAGCCCCCCCCCCCGCGCCCCGCCCCGCCCCGGCCCGGCCCGGCCCGCCGCGGGCGACGGTATCTGATCGGCGCGGCGGCCTGGCCAGACAGAGAGCCGCCGGCCGGCCGCCGTCCTCGCCCGCGCCGCCCGGCCACGGCGGAAACCGGGGCCCGAGCATACCAGCGCGTGACTCCATGTGGACAGTATCAATGACAAGTGCGCGTGAATCATATCCATACGCAGCTGATTCACTTGAGAAGAGTGCATTGCCGTGGGAAACCAGCAAGGACTAAATCATGCAGCCAACCTTTATGGCGATTTTATAGGCAGTAAATATTATCGATGATTTATGAGGATTTCTGATGAGGAATGAGGAAGATAGGAAGATGAGGATTGAGGAATGATTTAAGATATAAATACTTATTAGGAATAGGTTTGCCTAAGTTAGATATGTTTTTATTACCAAGGTTTTTATGGCTAAGCAATGCTTAAATACAAATTCCAGCTAATTTCAAACCTCTTCCTCTCCCTTCTTTTCCATTCTCTTCTCTCTCTCTCTCTCTCTCTCTCTCTCTCTCTCTCTCTCTCTCTCTCTCTCTCTCTCTCTCTCTCTCTCTCTCTCTCTCTCCAGTCTGTTGCTTTCCAGTTCGTCGGCTCAGAGTACCGACCCCTCTGACCTCTCCTCCCTCGTCTGCCGCAGCTCCGAGCATGACCACCGTCTGGAGGCTGGTGCTGCTGACTGCTCTGGCGGCCGTCGCCACCGGACAGGACAGCCAGTACTGCAGCTTCACACCCAAACACACGCTCTGCCAGTTCTCGGTGAGTGGCCGGCGCGGCTGCGGCCCTCACGGCGCTGCAGCGGCGCGCGCCGGCGCGGCGCCCTAACTCAGCGCCGCCAGTAGCGGGTGGCCGGCCGGTAATAACCTCAGATTGGTGGGCTGAGAGGCCGTCCCGCCGCCCCGATAACACCCAATAGTGCAAACTGCTGATCATGCATGAGCTTGGAGCATGCGAACGGCGCCCGATCGGCCCTCCCAAATGGTCGAGCCCACTGCATCGCAGCTCTGATACGATCACAATGGACGGTAGTTGCTCCGATATAGAGCAGACATTATTACCGAGGTGTTGCTGGTCATAACAGTGAACCAGTTAGACATGTGACCGCGGATATTAGTGTGCGATTATCGCGTGTGCTATTGTTTCGTTAAGATGCTGCATTATATCATTAATTAGTTCTTACTTCGTACATTTTCTTACTTCGTACATTTTCTTACTTCGTACATTTTCTTACTTCGTACATTTTATTTACTGAAAGGGGGCATTCCTGATTCACTTTTTTTCTGGCGATTCCTTTGCAATGCTTGCCTATTATGTTGGTGAACGGAGAGTTTGATCTTGGTGGCACGGAGCTAGCTCAGTTCGGACTGCTCAGGCCTTTTCATTTTCGGTGTGCTCCATTTCAAACTACTTTCAAAGATTAAAATTATTACAGGAAGTAATAGCGCTCATTTCATACACACGAAGTTAATTATTTATAACGCCTCTCATTATCTAAAACATAACCTCTGTCAAGACACATCTCAGCCTGGCAAGGTTCCCGCTCCGAGTAACGAGTCTCATTTCCATTAGTTCCAGGGGCAGATAAGGAGCCGCGCCGGACCACATGCACCCTTTGTATCATGATGAATTGGTCGCGGTGCGGGCCGGTGGAGAGGGGTAGTGTCTCCCCTGCCCCTCCGCTGGGTCGCTGTGGGCCAGTGCCGCCCACTGCCCCCTCCGTGCTGGGTCACTGGGGGCCAGTGCTGCCCCTGCCCCTCCGCTGGGTCGCTGTGGACCAGTGCTGCCCCTGCCCCTCCGCTGGGTCGCTGTGGGCCAGTGCCGCCCCCTGCCCCCTCCCTGCTGGGTCATTGGGGGCCAGTGCCGCCCCTGCCCCTCCGCTGGGCGCTGGGTCACTGTGAGCCGGGGCGGCCCCTAACCCACAGTGACTGGAGAATGGGGAGGGTATGGCACGTGCTCCAGTGGGTATGCTACGGCGTCCGAGATTCACGTTAAAGGTGTCTGTCTGTGGCTAACAATAGAACGTCATCCGAAATTGGCACACGACTATGGAAAGTTTCAAAATAAGTACTATGAATGGTAGCACAAACGATGTTTATTTGTGGAAAATTGGATTCTCTTTGAAGGTACAGACTGCAAGTGATGCTTTTGACGCAGAACAATTCAAATCTCGAACGGGATACTTGGTAGTGCATGGTTGTGGTTATGTTTACACGGACTGTAACGGATCTAAAGTCGATCCGAAAGCGAAAGTACGTACCTTTAATGCTCATGTTGTCATGTTCGTCGATTAACTGGCTCATATCGTACCTCTCTTATCGTTACGGTCTCAGTTCTCAGCCACCTAACGGACTTCTCCTGTCAGTTAAACCGTGTAATTTGGTGAAATTCTGTCACTGGTAAAGAGTCTCACTGCGTACCATCATCTATCACAACTTTCCGATTGAATTCAGCGCGGTCCGATGAAAAGGGAAATGATCCATATGACCTAGAATCGCCGGCTATCGGCGACTATCGCCGGCGCGATCGTACAGTATAGCGTGAGGCGGGCTCAGACGGCGGCGGTGTGACACGTACCGCCCACACCGGCCGCCTCAGCTGAGCTGAGCGGCGCCGACAGACCCACACTGATGGAGATGTTGTACGAGCACCACTGCCAGCCCATCTGAAAGTCAAATAGCTCACCGCTGAGCGCGCCTCGGTCATTCATTCCCAGAGGCTTTACTCGGGCCCATTCAGAGATCTGGAGTCAGGTGGGGGAAGGGGGGGGGGGGCTGATTGCGGTCGGTCCCCGAAGTCCCTATAAAACCTCGCTGGTTAGCAACGACATCATCGATCGATATAAAACGCCGCTTCTTATAAACCATGTCGGAACACGACCTTGTTTTATAAGTGGTCCGAAGGATCTGCATGATCTATGTATGTAGATCCGCGGCTAATCTCATCGGAGACGTTCCGATACTGCTATTTGATATCCCGGCTTTAGCTGAACATCCATCGGCATAAGGCGAACTCTCCATTCAGCAGTCCGATGCTTCGTCAAACCACTAGACAGCACTCGCGGGAGGAAGCTTCTGTTGACCTTGCTCGACATGGCAGTAAAGCTATTACCGGCAAGTGCTTCATTTTTCATAAAGTATTACTTTTGTCCAGTTCAGCGGAGCGTGCGGCTGCAGCGGCCACGGCTGCAAGAAAAGCCCAGCGGCTGCGCGGGGCGCGGTACCGGCCCCCTGGACCACCAGGTCCCGTGCTCCCCTTACCGGCCACGGCAGGTCTGTACGCCGCCCGGGGGGGGGGGGGGGGTCGCCGAGGGGGACCCGCCGAGGTCGCCTACATGGCGCAAATGGCGACAGCTGGCCGGTCGGCGTCCGCCGTCGAATGGAGGCCGCTCGCTGGACCGGGCCCGGCCGGCCCCCGGCGCCCTCCCCGTCACTAAAGAGGGACGGTCCGCGCCGGCCGTCCATCGGGGCGGGGCAGGGGTGTCAAACTGTCACACCTGGGAGTCGAGCGGCCACCCCTGGCAGTCGAACGGCCACCCCGGCAGTCGAACGGCCACCCCGGCAGGTTATCGTGGCAGGGAGGGGTGGGGCCGAACGGTCACCCCTCGGCAGACTATCAAGATGGCGGCTGCATCGCCTGCCATCCGTTAGGCCCATCAGACGACGGGTAACTCAATTGGACTCAGCGAGGACAGACATCAGCGGGGGTATCGATTCCTGCTCACCTCGGAAAACGACGGAGAAAGTTATGAGATTCTGTCTTGCTTATCGAATGTTGCTAATGTGGTGACAATTCATCTTTACGTATAGCTGTCATACAAAGCCATGTCCTTAGATACACTGTTGCCTAAGGCATCAATGCCTGCTGCTCCGCGGTCAATTTTCAATTTTTCATTTGCCTCAAATAATGGCTCAGCATTACCTAATCCGTTTCTGGCCGAGAAGCTCCTGTGGCAATGTGAGTTTCAGACTCGCGTCCCAGTCCCGTAAACTGAACCCAGTGCAGCGAAGGGAGCGGCGCCCGTATCAGACAGATGATGGCCGAAAAGCGGCAGTCACGGCAGCGGCCGTTACGTCACCCCAACAATTCTGCCATTGGATAGATAATGACATCGGCTACACCCGGCTCGAGACGTGAGCTCAATATTAAACGGCGCAGCTGTTTACGAGCGCCATCAGAATGCCACTCATTCGGCGTTCGGGCACGCGCTTGGTAGACAAGAGGATTGCAGCCTTTCTAGCCCCAAGCCTAAAGATGATGATTCGCTTAGTGGAAGTAAATAAAGAATCGCTCGTCAAGTATTTCTGTATATATAATATTTTGGGCTTCAATGCAGTTGATTATGTTCACTTGGGTAATTAATCTAACAAAAGCATCTCAAGCCAGGCTATTGGTACCGTGCCCTGGTTACGCAGCTGCACCATAATTGATCAACAATCACGCAACCCTCACCACGACACCGCCGTGACGGGGCCCGTGTCTGGGGGTGCCGTCACTCACTCTCCTCTCCGTCTCCTGGGGCGTGTTGTGAAACTGGGACAATGCTCGGATCACAGCATCGGGTGACGGTGGCATTTCTCAGCCATATGCCGGCGTGTGCCCGTGTGAAATCAGGCGTCACACACCGGGCGGGGTAGCCGTCCTCACCGACAGACGGTGGTCCCCCCGCGCGGTCCGTTCGGTTTACAGTAAACACGGCTCGAGGTCGGGCCACCGGCTCTTCCCTGGGCCAGGCCAGGTGCGCCGCTGCGCTGCCCAGCTCAGTGTCACCTACACCCGCCGGAGGGGGCTTCGGACTGACAGGTGACGATACTGAAGGCAGACAACTTTGGAAGAAAACGATGATACCTAGCGGTGAGCGGTGATGTATATTTTTTTAAAAATAACTCTAAAATAAAACGATTCTGACAGCAATAGGGGACTGAAAATGCTGCTAAATCAGTTTCATTTTAAGTTGACCAATGCAATGGCGATTCTGATTATTGTAAGCCCGTGTTTCGGCCAGTGTGAGAGCCGACAGAGGTAGCTGACAGCTGAAACTGCCTCTGTTGACAGAGGGACAGTGTTTGCGGGGGCGACAGCGTGGACGGCAGGTGGCGCGGTGCAATAAATCCCGTCTCCAGTCATGTGCAGATTGATAACTCATGTCCTGACCTCTGTAGGTACCCAGTGTCTTCCTGGAGGCTCGCCACGGGGGAGGGGGTATATGGGAGCGTGGCCCCGACCAGCAGAAGGCTGTCGGCCCTCGGGCTACCGCCGTGAAGAGGCCGTGAAGTGCTCGGTCCGATGGCTTCACCAGGGACGTACGTTTCCACTGTCTTCTTGACCGCAAGTTTGTTTCCGGTTAAGGTTCCAGGTTCTCTGGGCCATTGTTCCCTCAACCAATTGTGCGTTTGAACGCTAACCTTGCTAGTTTGCTTCAGTCTGGCTTGCAAAGTCGCACGCTGAATTCCAACTGAGTGGCAGTGCTTACGCACGCTTAGCGGGTAGCACTCGGTGATCAGTGCCCGCCTTCAGGCGTGTGGCAAGGCGTATATGCCAATGTCACGCAGCAGATAAATCGCTCCGTCTAGAATAGCCGGAAGGGATTGGTATCTTACTTTTTGTACCCATCACGATGCCTTCGATAACGCGTAAATTTCACACTCTTAATGATAAGTCAGCCCCCTCACGCTTGCGAAAATCTACAGCCGGATTATTACGGAGCGAGCGAAGCGAGCGTAGTCTTTCCTTAGATTAACGGAAATTTCTGAGCATGAGCGGCCGGCCGGCCGTGGTCACGCTTTTGCGAGGCTTATTTCTCAGCAACCACTTGACCGATTTACACGCGGTAATTTTTGTAGGGTAGCTTCGTTCCTTCTACCAAGTATTGGACTATTCTCGATGCATGTGGGTGACCCCTTATGCACGTGCCACGTGCAAAACGAAGAGGTGTCACTTTTGTAATTGTTGCAATATCTCGGTAACTACTTGGCCGATTGCGCTGAAAGTTGGCATGTAGGTAGGCACCCACTAGGCAATGCATATCCATGTGCCAGAGTTGGGGTGCTGCTGCACGTGCGCACGTGCAGGGGTCGATTCCAGATCTCGAGAATGGCTGGACCGATAGCGCTCAAATTTGGTACACGGTTAGGGACCAGTTAGTAGGGTGCCGTGCAAAAGTCAGATGGGACCCATTTTGCACGTGCGCACGTGCAGGGTTCCGCTTCCAGATCTCGAGAACGGCTGGGCCGATTGTGCTCAAATTTGGCACATCGCTGGAGACCAGCTAGTAGGGTGCCGTGCACAAGTCAGTTGGAGGTACCCCCTCGCAATTTCGCACGTGCAAGGCCCACCCTCTCGCTCGCTCCGTTAATCGCCCCAAAAGGCGTTATACTGGTATTTTACTATTTCAGAAATCTTACGTTTCTGAACGGAACGATGTGAGCGAGCATCTGACTTCAGCACCTTGCATCGACTCCTGCCAACTATACAGTTCTATTCAATTTCCCAGCATTTACGGCGTTAGTACGTGAAAACGGTGAGAATTTCTCACGGTTTAAGTGACATTAAGGTGGAGAGTACATACTTGTCAACTGCCTAGCGTCACCGAACAGCCGCGTGCCATCCTGTAACGCTCACCGGCGTACTGTAATTGCCTCTGTACGCGCTTTTACCGCAGCGAGTGCCGAGCGGCAACCAAACCTCGCGGCGCTCCGTGACAGGCGTGCCGAGCCGAAGATCTCTTCACACTCGAGACACCACAGACAAATGCGGCCTGCGCTGGTGCGTGGGAACACGAAATCTGCATGTCCCACTTCCCATCCTTCGGCGAGACACTGGTCCGTCGCAGACGTGCGCCCGTCGCCCCGGGTCTGTTTGTGTCCCGGCCGGCCGTGCTGTGACCGACTATCGACGTTAATCGGCGGCAGGACGGACGGCGGCACGGTGGAGCGCCGGCTCGGTCCACCTCCGTCCCAGTGACGGACGGCTATCGCGGCTCATCGGCGGCGGACGGCGCGGTGACAGCCGCCGAGGCCAGCCGGCCTTCTGTGGTCACTTCCGGGCGGTCGGCGGCGGCCGCCCGCCGCCGGGGCGCGACACTCGACCGGCCGGGTCCGGCCCGCGGCCGCCCGGTCGCGCTGGGACGCACACCGCGCCGGTAGCGGCGGCCGCCCGGCGCTGGCACCGAAATGCCACCAGGCGTACACATAGTCACCGCAATCAGCCTGTGTCGCGGGGCACCTCGACGCGGTTCGCCACGAGCGCGCGGCGCGTGGCGACACTGAGGACGCGGCCACGCCGCGGCGCCGCCCTCGCTCAAGACGCCGTAACGCCTGCGCCTGCCCGCGCCCGCCGCGTCGGGCTGCGTCGCCAGGCGCCGGTGCGTGGCCCTGCACCCGGTTTACTTCACGATAATGCCTGCATTCTGAGGGAGCACTCAGCGTGGCGTGCTTGTCCTGTCTCTGTTTTATAGCTGTTTGCCGTCATACATACCTATGCGCGAGCACTCCTGTAGATCAGCACTTGCGGACCGCACGGATGAGTCTGCACATTGCATCATAACAGTGGCGCTTCCTTTATGCAGGATCAGCCACCGTGTCGCTTTATTTATACCGAAGCATTTCCAAGATTTATGTTTGGCTTCTGAGTGCAGCGACATCATCGTACCCAAACACCCGCGCTTGCAGGACAGCCCAGCGGCGGAGAGAAATGGAGGGGGACGGGCGGGCAACACGGTCGGACATATGCAAATCATGGTCTGACGAGGCGGTTTAGCATTATTCACCTGCTACTGTCTCTGAGACAACGGTGCAAATTCTGATTATGATTACGCAAACTGTAAGCGATACTAACAGTGTGCCTGTCTGGGGATTATTTGTTGTCATCAAGCTATAACGGGACGAACGTAGGTACATAATTTTCACAGAGAATTGCATTGCTTGCCCAACTTCTTAAAACAAGCATCGATCTCAAGTCCACTTATCAGGATCGTGATCACGGTGATCATATCATCATATTATATCATGATCATGATTATACGATCGTGCTCACTTAGGTTTAAGCATCTCAACCAATTTTGATTCGCATAATAATCCTTGAAGCTAAATTAGGTATGTTCTGAGTCATCAAACGTAGCCATTATTCTTTGTTATCAATACCTGTCAAATCATCGATCAAATAATAGGAAACACACTATACCAAACTGTCTAAACAGCTTACGATGACATGGCAACAATGGACGGCTGCGGCCTCAGTGTCCGTTTCCTGACGCGTGGTGACGCACCAGTCCCCATTAGCACACCGCACATCACTCTGCGGCCCGGAGGCGGCGCTCGGTGCACGCCACACGGTGGGCGCGCAGCTCCGGGCCGGCCACGGACGGGTGGCTCGCCGGTCGGTCCGTGTGCTGCTCCCACGGACAGCCGGGCGCTGCGTGCAGGCCGCCGGACCCGGCCCCGAGCTCGGCACCCGGAGACGCTCCGGACCCGGCTCCGGGCTCAGATCCGGACTCGGATCCGGATTCAGCTAAAGGCCGGTCAGAAACCACATCGGCACGAGCTAGTGCGTACGGAAGGCGCATCGTATTCTGCTCAGTCAGCTATCTCTGCGGAATATCGGCAATGAAATTGTAAAACGTAGTCTCGTCAGACAAGCTATCGTTCAAAATCGTCTGCGGCCTGAGCCTCAGTCTCTGCATCTGCGGATCCCTGCCATCTTACGCACATCCTCGTGCACCCTGTGACCCATCCCTGCGCTCCCACAGGGCCCCGGACCGGCCTGTGACCAGCTGCAGGCTCGGTCAGTCGGCACTGAGGAGGCCAAGTACATCGTGGCCGAGCACAACCGGCTCCGGGCCCGGGTGGCCAACGGACGCGAGACGCGCGGCAAGTCCTTCAGCCAGCCGTCCGCCTCCAACATGCGGCAACTGGTGAGTTTTAACCCTCAGAGATAACGGACGCTCTTGTGTGTGCACTCTTGTTTTTGCTTAGAATCTATCCCGAGAAAGTTACTGTGACTGCATTGATTGCATTGGAAGACTGCATTAATGATGCACTTATTTATTAAGCAACATGCTTAACATTGACAAATCCTTAAAAATGCAAGCACATTCCATTTCATACAGACGCAAACAGCGTCCTATCTTTCTATTGTTGTTATGTTTTGGCGGCTGTCAGAAGCAGAAGCTCAGTGACGGATCCCGGCGGCCTCCCAACGAGCCCGCTCGTCAGTCTCATTACGAGTTCTCACGGAGGCACTTGCGGCTGGCGAACAGAACAATTACCGTTCCCCGTGACCGGTGAAGGACACCCGGTTTTCTGATGTATTTTAGGCGAATAGAACGGTGCGCTCTCCATCACAGTTCCACACAATCGATTTCCGTGTGATCGAATTCGATAACTTGAAGACGACAAACGTAAATGAACGTCAGAACTCTGAGTCAAGGACAAGCTCGAATTAGCTCGACCACCTGTCAGATAATTCAAATCTTCTAACTATATTGTTTTTTTGTTAGTTTTGAAGCTGACTATGTAGGGTGACGGATGCCATTCACCAACATGCCAATATTGCAGGACTGTCCAAGGGCTAGTACTTTGAAAGCAGGGTTGCATTTTGTGAGGTCATAGCTCCTCCGCGACACAAAATAATTTCCAACATCTTCATTCAGAGGTGTTGTTTCTATATTGCGATGGACGCTTGCGAATCTGCAGTAAATTACCCGAATAACTGTGCGACCCGATCTGACCTCTCTTCTCCCCTGCTAGGAATGGGACGACGAGCTGGCCAGGGTAGCGCAGAGACATGCCGAACAGTGCGTCTTCCAGCACGACTGCCGAGACTGCAAACGAGTCGGTAAGCTGCCTGCTGAGTAAGCACCACAGCCATAACGTTTATCTGTCAAAGTTTGCATCACCTTATCTCAAGCATTCACGCGATTATGCCTCTACACACTACTCCTCCCATGTTCTCTTTCGTTTCTGCCCATTCCTCCGTGACTGACGCGGGTCTGTCTGTGATTTCAGCGCGCTTCAAGGTGGGCCAGAACCTGTACAGCTCCTCCAGCACGCGTCTGGAGAACATCCCGGAGTGGAAGAGGGCCGTGTACGCCTGGTACGACGAGGTGGCCATGTTCGACCCGCAAAACATCGAGCCGTTCGTGTGAGTTGGAGCCGGCGGGGAGAGACGGCGGAGGAACGCTAACGCTTTTTGTTTATACCATAGTGTAATAAATAACATAGTGTTATTTATTACACTATGCTTATACTTTATTCTCGAGGCAAAATGTTATTTTTAGTTACCATTTTAGAATCAACAACTAGGTATATCTAGAAAAGCTTTGGAACTTTTGTGAGGTCAACTTTCCTTGGCTATTGGCTAGCGCTCTATTTCTCGCTTCAGTCTTTTTAAAGAGTTCATGCTGTCAACCGTCATGCTTTTGTTTTTCACTTTTGCTCTTATTCAGTTCCTGCATGAATACCTAAACACTGTCCAGACATTAATCGATTTGCTCTTAGATGTATTTCGTTATATTGCATGTTCCTAATGTACGAGATTAATGACATCGGCTCTCTCACGAGGAGAGGAGAACAAAAACTGATGGTGGATGATCTCACGGGAATTCGTGCCGGCCAACGGTCCCAAATGATACCCTGGCTAGCTTATGCTCTACGATAGATCACGTTATAATTGGACAACACAATTGTGGATCTCGGGCCTCAGCTTTCTTCCGTGAAACAAACGACGTGGGAACTGCAGTTTCGCAAGGACAGTAACTCAGGAGACTACAGCTGGGCACAAGACAATATCGAGACTGCGTCCCGGGGTAGTCGGTCTCACGTGATCGATGCTACAGCGATTTATGGACATTATCTAGTCGATGATTTTGCTTCTTATGATTATTCAAACATTTTACTACGGATTCTTTTTCAATGCCTCCTTTCCTCAATGTCGGTGAAATATCGGTGAGCAAAGTAAGTGAGCCCATCGCCAAAACTATGCCGATTCCGGTGTTTTCCCCCGGACCATCCCGGAGTATTTCTAACGCCCGGTCCGTTTGCCTTCTCTCGCTCACAGATTTGAGACCAGCATCGGCCACTACACGCAAATGGCGTGGGCGGAGACGAGCCGTATCGGCTGCGGCTACACCCTGTACAAGGAGGGCCCCTGGTGGACCAAGCTGTACGTGTGCAACTACGGCTCGGCGGGAAACTTCCAGCGGGGACAAATGTACGAGCGGGGCGCCGCGTGCAGCAACTGCCCGGCCGGCACCTCCTGCTCCAGAGAGTTCCCCGGCATCTGCAGTGAGTGAAACCAAGAGAGGACAATTTACCGATGGAACGATATAGCGGCCTGTTGATGTGCAAACTCGTGTTGCATCGGTTCTACACGGTTCACTTGTTAAAAATTGCTTCCTTTTTATCTTCACTAAAATTTCAACATGGTGTACTGTATACATAAACTTATTCCCTAATTTTCGAAATGTTTGGTGTCTTATTTTATTTTATGACCTCTCACTATAGCCGGGAGACCGATCACAGCTCATCTCTGTTTTACAGTGGATGACTCGTCTTCGACTACTAATCCTACCCAGCGCCCTACGACACGTCCTACTCGGCCCCCCACCCAACGTCCCACCCAGCGTCCCACGCAGCGTCCCACCCAGCGTCCCACCCAGCGTCCCACGCAGCGTCCCACGCAGCGTCCCACGCAGCGCCCCACCGCGGCCCCGTTCCCCGTGGAGCGCCCCTCGGCGGGGGCCACCCTGTTCAGCTGCGACCTGGACCGGGACGGGTGCCGCGTCAAATACTCCGGCTCCACCTGGAAGATCGTTCGGACCAGCTCATCGCAACGTAAGTGGTCCGCCGCGGTGGCCGCTGGGACTAGGAGCCTGGGTGATTGAATATCGAACATGAGCTGGCTTATGGCTAAGGCAGGACTTAGTTTGCGTGCTGGAAAAGCTAAAAAGTACTGGTTATAAATGACAATTCAACATAATGAAATTGTATTCAATACTAATACGATGCTTCACGACAGTCTGTATGCAAGAATCGGTGATAGCCGTGTAATAATTATAATTTCGGTTGTGGTTGGGTGCATGTGGGTCGGTCGTGGCGCCACCTGTCCACGGACCTGTTGGATGCTGCCTGGTGCCACTAGGTGCCTCCGCTAGGCACCACTAGGTGCCACCGTATACTGCCAAGAGTCCACCGATAAAACGGCGACTGGTGGCTGAAGTGTCCCTGTAGACGACGCTCGCCCCATCTCTCCCGCCCCTCCGCCCCTGACTGACCTACCCGCGCCCGCCGGCAGGTCGTATTCTGGGCACGGCCGTCACGTTCGGACGCTCCACGGAGCTGACGTTCCAGAGCGATATCACGCCGCCGGCCAGCCGGACCGTGTGCGTCACATTCGCCTACATGAAGTACGAGCTGCGCGGCAACACGCCGGTGGAGCTGGAGGTGGCGCTGGACCCGTCGGCCGGCTCCCGGGAGCGCGCCGTCACCCAGGTGATCCGGCCGAACGCGCGCGGCCGCCTGCGCCGCGGCCAGGTCGAGCTGCGCGGCGCGCCCGCCCGCGGACAGCTGCGCTTCTCTGCCTCCGTGCCCACCTTCGCCTTCGGGCAGGCCACCGTGCTGGCACTGGACGACGTGAAGGTCCGGTCCGGCCGCTGCTGAGGTCAGGTCAGCACCGGTCGGCGGGTCGGATCAGCGGCAGCGGCCCAGAGCCGGCACCGCTCTGGTCTCCAGCGCACACCGGCCTCCAGAGGGCGCTACTCGGTTCACCGCCGGACCGCCAGGTGGCAGCAGCGGCGCCACCGAGCCGCTCCAAACCGTTTGAAGGCGACGGCGACTGAATGGCAAAAGACAGGCCCATCAGCCGCTCGCTCGTGTGTATAGTCTGACTTGATCAGATGACAGGCTCCTGTGTAAGACGCGTCAGTATTAGGAATGTTCCCTCGCATTCGTGGTCGCTCAATGTTCGGAGTGGAAGATCCAGCATGGACACATTGGACAGCTCGCTCAATCTGATGTCTGTTTTACTTTGTGACAAGTCAGCACTGAGCTGTGCGTCGATAAAGCTCCAAATTGCATGCTTGTTCTTTTTATTTATGCAATGTCTATGTTTCATTCTGCACCGTACTCCGACTCACACTCTTTTTATCTCCTGGCCACCGAACAAATAAGGAACGAATAATCTCTTAGAGTAAGTAATCATGGTTCATGTTGTGTTGTTTTTGTCTGAATGTACAACGGGTTGTCATATATGTTTTCTTATAGTTGTTTAAGGTCATTCAAGTTCCAAAGGTCTCTTTCGATATGAAGAACACATAGTGGGACGAATGTGTCATTGCTCCTTGCTCGAAAGCTATATTCGATCATTATTTATAATGACTACGTCATGAACCATCAAGTAAACCCTATCGGCCTCTTCTGTTCATGGAATATTCATCATGTGTGTGTGTGCGCGCCTTTTTATATGCTTTAGCCATTATTTATTCATAAGGTCGTGAAGTATTTATAGATGAATTATCATATGTTCTCTCTTCGATGTTTTTGATGAAATACATTGACGAGAGGACTTTATCCGCCGTTTTCTGGAAAGTCGGTGGTTAACGGCACGGAAGGCTACAACTTTAAAGACTCTCATCGCATTGCAATGGGTATGTTGCATATTTTAGCGGTATTCGCAGATAACATTGCTCCTATTCCTGCGTGGGAAGACAATCACAGTTCACACACACAATAACACACAAAGCACGTGCGGTATTTAACCACAGTCACACGCCTCACTCAGAAACGACTCACAGCTGGACATAACCCACCGGCCCACAGGCCCAACGCCCACGGCCCACACTGCTATCCTCATCCTTGTAAGTCATGCAGATCTATTGCCGCATGGTCATTGGTCC